TTCACTTCCACGGGCAACGCCCGAGAGAATGAAAGGCACGACGAACAACCGATATCCTCATCTTCGGTCTTACTCACGTGATTAGATATCAAAGAAACAAAAGTCAAGACTCGGAAGTAGGACCTCCAGTAATCCTGACGCTTACTCGGCGCCGGGTATGTACTCCGTGCCTGATCTCCTTAACAAAGGTACCTACTCACCTCCCGAGCGTGGCATGCAACGGCAAGACCCCTGTTGCCTTGATTCTCGGGCCAAACTTCTTGCCTTGTTCGCACGTTTTTGGTGGCACCAGATGTCCGAGAGGGTCGTCTATTCTTTTTCGAGAATCAACGCTGACCGGCGGCCGCAACAACAACGCATCGCTTCGCATCACATCCACCCACGCCGTCGCCGCATTCCCAAAACCCATGATCGAATCACGGCCAGCTGTCATGTCACTCCATTCTAAGTCCGTTTTGTCGTTTCGAGCCCTGGACACAGACTCCACCTTGTCACACTCCAAGACTCCAATCTGAGGTGGAGTTTCGCTCCCTCACCGAATCACCCACAAATCCAAGCATCAAACTTCTCCACGCCAGACTCCACCACCACTACTCGTCGCCACTGTCACACTCTCCGTCACAACCACCACCAGTTCTTCAGCACAAGCGGCTTTGCCCCTCCATCCGCCAGATGAGCACATCCTGACATGGCCCAACCTCCTGCTCAGTCCACCAGAAGGCCATAGCTCGGCCCAGCCATCGACTTTGACAGCAATATCTCCGATACGGCTATCGGTGCACTACGGGAAACGGGAAGCCCAGATACACACGGAGCCCAACTATGGACCTGTCTCGGCTACGACAAGTGGGCTTCTGGTTCTCTGACTTCCCGCCCTGCCAGGCAGCCGACCCGACTTCATATCTTGCTGCCGCCGCCGCCACTGGGGGATTCCAGAATGCATGGACGCCTTTGCAAGCTGTGGTCAGCGTGCTCCGAAATGCAAACAATAGCGGCAGTTCCAAAGCCATTCATATGATAATTTGCCTACTCGCACAACTCCTTCGAACCGAAGCGACACTCGCACATCGTAGTAGCGTACAGAGATGAGGCAACAAACGATCTGGCTACACCCCGTCTTTTCCCACTATCGCCGCCTGCTTTATATCTCTCCATCTCTGTCATATTGCCTCATTGACGAGGGTGACGAGAGTGACGAGGGCGACGGTGCTCTGTAGGCCCAGTGCTCACTGGATCGGTCGCTGTACCCGATCAAAGTCGTCAGCACCCTGCGCCATCCTCTGAGGTCCCGAGGCCGGCGGCGGCCTCTTACTACAATCCTATTATTCACTTCCTGCGCATACAATGACGGCTTTGCCTCGCTATCGATGGGCAGTCCAGAAACGCGAGACACTGATGCCACTTGTCTCCGCTCGACTGCAGATGTCCACATGTGCCCGCCGCCCGTTGTTGTGCGCCAATGGCACAGACCGAAACACCTGGACAGAAGCACAAGAGGGTCCAACTCGCTGAAAATCCCATGGCGCCTCAATCGTGAGAATAAGAGTCACACGGAGCTAGCAGGGCTTGCCTGGTAGTACCCGCGATCCAGAACCCTCCACTCTGCCTAAACTGCGTCACAGCTTCAGATCTCTGCACAAAAGCATTTTCTTGCATGCAACGTCCACCAAGCATGGAAGAAGAAGAAGAAGAAGAAGAGAAGAGAGAGAGAGAGAGAGAGAGAGAGAGCATACAGGCGGGCCGAGACTCTGGCTGACAGACTGAACAGTTTCTCTCAAAAGAACATATCGGATCACGGACTTTCTGCATAGCTCAAATGATTTTCGGCATCGGGCCACCGATATTTGAGCCGTGCTGGCGACAAATGTGATATCAAAGTACGGAATCAGTAGTGCCAGTATGCCCTGCGTAATGAAGTTGACGTTCATCCCCATCGCCCACGCATCCATCTCACATCAAGAAGGCTACGGGGGGGGGGGGGGAGTTACCACCGTCCTAGATATGTTGCTGGCTGGCCGGACTCTCTGTGTATAATCATTATTCCCACCCTAAGCATCGCCCGAGCCTCGTTGGGTCCGTGGTTATCAACCTGTATCAAGATCTATCGCCGTTGAATCTCTCGGCAGGGCGCTGAGTATGAACGGCACCCTCACGAGCATACGAATATCACCCGCTCGACAACGAGCTTCCAGTTTCTCGCCTGTTACAGTACAACTCACAGCAAAGCACAAAAACCTCCGATCTGTACTCTATTAATAACAGTGCCTACACTAGAGGCCGAAAGTCGAGACCCATAGAGGCCCGTCGATCTTATCCAGCCGCCTTGGTCCCGGAGACGCACAAAAAAGAGACATTATCAAGCAGGTACTTACAACTATTTGGTCCTCCATGTATCTCTAACAGTGTTGGTTGAGACCGGAGCTCACTGTGCTTCCTCGACATGGGCCGGGGTCTTAGCCCGCACACCTTCACACGTTGCTGTTACGTCGGTGGAGCTCCAGGGTTGCAGACTGGAGTTGGACGACGGGAAAACGCAACAATTCCTACCTATCTGCAAGTCAATGGATGGAGGAGCTTGGCTACCCGCCTTCATTGTCCAACGGCGAATCGCTTGGGTGGGCTTCTTTGCCCTCCTCCAAGGAACCCTCGCAATAACCTCCTGTTAACGACATGTCATGCTGGGGGAGCCCGTCGGTGACTGGTATCCAGACTTGGGCAGGGCTCTCTCGCGCGCTTTCCGATGGAACTCGACATTGGACATATTCTTCGGAATCTAGAGCTGTCGAAACTTTGTCGCAGGCTCGCTTACCACGCTCGACTCGCCCAACACAGGATACGAGATTGAAGGACCCCATCGCTCTGCGTTGTCCAGCCCACACTGTTGAAACGAATCTTGCTGCGACAAAGAGAGAAAACGGCTGAGCAGTAGACGCCGGCGATGCCGCCAACATCTTGACAGCGCCCACGCTACGGATACGCTACCGCTACCGCCTCTGTTCACGGCGACGCCCGGACCGGTCAGGGCACCGCAGCGAGCCTAGCGATTTGGGGTATCAACGGCTTAACAAGCCACCCCTGTCCTACACCCTCGTCTAGTGTCCTTGTGACCTGTTCCGATACTTTGTCAGCTCAGGGATATGAGATTCAACGCCGGCTTACCTGCTTAGGGAGACGGACATTTTATCCTTGGACGCAGCCAGCATTGCCATCTCATCCTTGGACGTGATGATACGTGCAGCTGTAGCACGCTTGAAACCAAATTGTTTTAGCTACTCAGTGCCAGTCCATTGACGAATTCCAAGTTCCAGCTGCTTCAAACGTTCTGAGAGTGTTGGCTTCCGTCACGGGATACCGCTGCCGGCATTCTATCTCAGACACAAGCTCCCCTCCAGCGCCAGGTCCAGGGCTTCTTGATAGAAGACGGTGAGCGTGGCCCGCAATAGCAACGAGGATCAGCGCGGTCACGATTTCTCACCGACGGCGCAAACAAGTGACGTCTCTTTCGGTCTGCGTCAGGAACGAATACCAGCGGCCTGGGTGTCTTATTTCAGATGCCACACTTTACGGCTGGCTGACGACGATCGAATTGCCAACAGATCCATCCATAACAGTCCAAATAAATTTTCTAATTGCATGCTGGGCTGTCCATCACCCGTCCTTGCTCCCTGTCCAACAACGACTGCTACGAGTAGCTCAGCGGCCAGCCCTCACAATTGCAGCTTGTGCTCCCGATCTCGAGGCATGGCAACCGCGTCTTCGCATCAATACAAACTCTAACGCGTTTCCGCGGCCCACGCCCGCCGGCTTGGTATTCATCGAGAGACAAGCATCGCATATCTCAGCACGTACCATACGCTTACTTGTATGATTTACGGCAGAGTGTGGGGATTGGGGATTAGCTCTGCTCAGCACGGTGGAACGACTGCAAGGATTCAATGGTGTGGTAGGCACTCACGCAAGCTCTCGACGAATCCTGAGAATGGGCTTGCGGAGCTTCCGCCGGCGTACGCACGAAGGCTTGCTCGACAGAGGATGTTTCTACTTACCGCTTTGCAAGCTTTCGAGGCTTGGGCTACGTTTGTCCTGCTACTGTTGAAGCAACACCAGAATGCTAGATACCTGAACGGTATAGATACAATGCAAGGCGATTGAACCGTGACCACATCTCAATCGATCTTGGTATCAAGCAGAGACGGACATGGGCGTGGAAGAGGGCCAACCGAAGTCTGTTTCTGCTGCTGCTTGCTGCTTGGGCCGAGTCTCGTTGACAGAGACAGGGAATTCAAGACAGCCTGCTCCTGGAGACAAGGCCGCATCGAATCAACCGTCTGTACGACATAGCTTCGCGGCTCGGCACTGTCACCCTTCCCTCGACTGCAGATTCTCCAACTTTTCCCCAAATTACTCTAATCATCGAAGGGGGTATCGGGCTCTACCCTAGCCGCAGGTCAGAGTGCAACCCTTCCCCAGCGACGAAGGATGCCCCTCCCCCTGAGTTGACGAGAACACTTGCGTTAGGAGTTGCAGAACGGTCCACTACAAACCATTGTGAGGATTGACGACTCGCCCAAGGGTGCGTATCTCCGGTCGATTCTGGGTTCGGAGTCTTGGACCCAAGGCGTACAGGCAATTGCAAAATGCAATGCATCAGGTGCGCCGAGATCCAGGGCCCACACATGGACAACGACAGATCACAGTTGTTGAAACATGAGCCGCCTTCTCATTCGTCTCACTCTCGACTGGTGTCCTCTGCCGATCCACACTGGTGTTGGGTCACTTGGGTTGGCCTGTCTTTCGAAATCGGTACCGTCTTTTTGAGGCTGTGCAAAAGGGCATCCGTCCATCCATCGGACATCCACCCTTGAGCAGCTGGGCCTGTCGGCTTTTCCCTGGTTGGATGGCAGCCAATACGGAGATTGACTTTCTGCAGCTTCAACCGCTTTCGTTGCGCTTGTGTGCCCTTATTTCCGTCAGCCTATCATGTCGCCCTCGCCGGCTGTCTCAGGTGTTGAACGTTTCTCGAGCGCCGGTGACAAATCTGAGAGGAGGACCAACGTTCCTGGAACACATGCAGCCTCCCACCATCTTCCGCGTTCGACGAACCCTCCATGGCAGCTTAGACCACGCATACTTACTCCAAATCCGCTCACACTTTTCAGGACGGAATGGATTGATGGACCGGCGAGTGGGTAGAAGGAAGGGAAGAGTGAGAAGCATCAAGCCCCAAGCTTGTCCCGGGCCAATCCAGCCATCGGAGACTCACACGGTACGGCAAGTGTCAAGCAACAGAGAATCCAGGCCGATGTGTTTCTCCAACCCGAGCCAGCCCGCCCAGCTACGCAAGCATCCAGCTACCCTAGCACACGCATGGCGTTCTCCAAATCAACCCCCAAGTCAACGACCGGCGCAGCAATTCGCATCAACGCCATCCAACTGTGAGGGACCAGAGAGCTCCTACGACATTCCTCCCGTCAAAAGGTATTAGCCGGCCACCTCCCCCGAATATGAGCACCTGACACCTAGTACTAGCCCCGGCAGCGTGCCACCCCTGTCTACCCCGGATTCTTTCCAGTTGTATCTTGCTGTTCTTGGACCACCCAGGCCTTACAAGCATCTTCGGGAATTTGGTCAGGGAGCAGATTCAATTTTGTCTTCTATTCGCCGATCAGTCCCTTTCCCTTGCAACTATCGCTCCAGTCATCTGAGCCAATTGATATGATTAATACTCGGATTGAGAGCATGTCACCTCGGAATGACGCTAAGACTGGAAACACGTCCTGATATTCCTGGCCATCCGGCATACGTCCGTTTCTTGGCCCTGAAAACTTTTGGGTGCTGCATTGGACCAGTTGGTACTGCCCAAACCCTGAAGACAGCGACTCTACGTGATGTCGACGCCGCCCGCCTGCATACTATTCAAAATGTGCCTGCTAGAGCCCAGGCCCGAAAGCCCACAGGACGGATGTATGCCGGTGACATTCGCTGAGCATACTCGTGACGTAGGTGCTCCGGACTCGCCCCAGACCTACTGTTCTACCACCGATTTGAAAGTCGCAGTTCTGTTTCGCCTTTTGGTTTGTCAGGGCTTATCCATCTAATCATGGAACTAGGCTACGCAGAAGCAACGAAAACCAAGATACACGTTTCGTCAGGTTTAAACAACACCCTTCCTGGTTCATCGGTACGCCAAGGGAGAATTGGAAGGTGCACATGAAGCGTTCAATCGATTCAGCCTGCTTCGCCGTGAATAATCAAGACGAAGTGTCGCGGCAACGCCAAGCCCGACTGCCTACCACCATATGCTTTCATGTACTCCGTACGGATAGAACTTGTGGGATATTCCGTTACTAGGCCTGTGTTCTTGGCATTATAAATCCGAAATCTGGAGCCGGGGGACCTCTACTGGCGGACGTTGATGGAGCTCTGATGAGTTGACTTGCCGTCCTTTCCGAGTTCTAAAGGAGGTGAGACGCAGCCGCAGACATACCCCTACGCCGTGCCTGTCACAATTCGTACTGCGCTGGACGGGCGGGCGTCCATGATCTAATTAGCTGCAACAGATGGTTGACATTACTGGGAGCTCGGGTCTGACCTCAACAAATGGGAAGAAAGTTGTCGATGCTCTCGGGAATAAGTCTGGCATCCGATGACCGTTGCTTATCCGATGGAGGAATCGACTTGGCTCATCGTCACAACTTCATGCACACTATCCGTACACGCACATATACATACCACCACACCACCTTCTGCTGCTGCTTCTCCTAGGTACCTCACACACACCCAGCAATTTGATCTCATCGTAGGCGTCACTAACCAGATGGCAGGCTGTCGCCTATCCGGCCACGCTTGCGTCACTGCGCGTACAATGAAGCGACGCTGGAACCTCGATTGAGCTTGATGCTACCTTCGTCACAGCTTTTTGTGGGATCGTCTACAATCAGCAAGAGCGAAAACTCATTGGGGTTTTGCAGTTTAATACGGATACCGCTGAGCTATCATTGCCACACCAAAGTACTTCGGTTACAGAAGAGCAGTTCATGAGCCAGTCTTCGCTTTTTTTGCCACGGCCACGTTGATTGGGTTCAGCCAAACCCGTTCGTGGCTCCGTTGCGTTGTGCCTATTGCTGGCCCACACACCCACTCACACAAAGAACATGCAGACTTAGGCCACGCCAATCCATCGTTCCATGTCGCGGATAATTCTTCTTTGCCGCCGCTAGTCAACGTCGCCAGACAGGAAATGGCCCTGTGTCGCTGTGTCGTGCAGAGAAGGCAAAAAATTGTGATTCTCTCAAACGTCGCTGGCCAAGATCGGGCGCATAGAACTGCTTGGGAGTCGCCACTGGTCAAGATTTCCGCGCCATTTGCCTTTGCTCCAAGGCCACCATCATTGGTGGCCTCGAGCAGATGCAAACTGCCGTGCCTGGACTCGGTCGGCTCTCAACATCGGCTTGGACCACGCCACCTTGAGTCACGGTGGGCGGTCTTTGTTCTGGTCCATTGAGGTTTCTTTGGGAAACGCTTCCTTTCAGGGGACTGGCGATATCCCGTAGACTAGCAAGCGCCCGTCGCCAATTCACCCAGTCACACACTCGCAGAACCGTTCTTCTGCTTTAACGACAGACGAACAGGCGCCACGGCTTTGCGTGAAGCTATATACTTAGTCTTAAGCTTGAACCGTCACGCTCCCTATTTTCCCAGCCTCCAAAAATCACAACGGCCGTCCCTCATCTTCGGGTTTGTGGGCTGGCGTGGGCTCTTGGCAGGACATTCGCTATGCTTTGAACCGAGTTGACGGCCGCACTACGGGTGGGATGTGGCGACGCCGGGCCACGCTACCAACCCGTGAGCGTGTGTTCACCGGCCGCCCTTCGGTCTGTCGATCGGCGCCGATCATTCTGCATCGCGGAGTTTTTCTTGGAAGGAAAAAATAGCGAGTACGTTCGGCGGCACGGCGTTAAGTCGGGTGCGGTGGGTGGCTACGTGCAATACCAGGCTCCTCAGACGAGGTGCAGTGGTGTTTTTTTCCTGTATGCAGTCCTGACAGTTTGCGGCATGGTCGAAACCCACCAATGTGTGGCGCAAGCAAGAAGCGAGCGGGTTGGCATTTGATTCCTTCTTCTGTCTTCCAGGCTGGGGTCCTTGTGTTCTCTCTGGTTGATCTTTGCATCTTAGGGGTCGCAAGGTGATCTTCGGAGGTTATCGGCAGTTGGAGGGGCACGGATGGGTTCGACAATCTGTTGGAATGGCCTGGCCACCTGCTGATCGCTGTCGTGATCGTCCGTCTGTCAGCGCCCAGCGACGGTTCAACGGTCGTTGGTGGTCGCGCTGTCACGGCGAGTGCTGTGACGGCGCAACGTCATTGATGTTTCTAGAGGGACTTTATTCTGGTTGATATAATATCATTGCGGCATGTCCATTCTGAAAGCTTCCCGAAGGATCGAAGGATGGCACCGTATTTGCCACGGCACTGCCAACGGGGTGAGGTCCAAATCCCAATTGCCAATTTGAGGTGGTCGGTGGCACAAGTGTATCATTTCGAGGCGATATGGAGAGCAGTCACTGTTAGCATCTCTGAGAGCATGAGATTCCCAAAGATGAAGCCTCGACATACATTGAAGTAAACATGGTATCACTTGACTTGTTTCCGTATATCTTGCTGAAGATGAGCGGGTGAAACATGATGATGCCGGACCCAGCCCATGCATTGATATGTCCTCACGAAAGTACAGACATCTGTCAGTGCGATGAAGAAGAGAATCAATTGGGTATTATTTTGAGCAATCACCAAGGCGGAGCTCAGCTTCTACACATGATGGTGTCACGCTCCTGAAGACATACTACTACCATGAGATGCCGGCATCGTAAAACCTTTTGAGGAACAGCAGAAACGAACCGTTCAGAAACCACCGCCGTCAAATTCATCAAGACATCAATCCGCACATCCCCTCATACTAGAGCATCCCCTCAATATCTTATCAACCTCCTTACGACTGATCAATATCCATGTCATCAACATCAGCAGCACCAGATTCGTCGAAGCCAATGGCCGCCAGGTTTTTCTTGACGTTTTGCTGCGATCTCATTTCCTAAGCAATGGCAACGTGGTTAACAAAGAGCACGGCGCTAGATTTGCTTGCGCTGAATCAAATATTGGATATGTTACCTCTTCCACTGTGTTCTTGATCACGTATCTCGTGACGAGCACCTTTTTACCCTGGCCGAAGCGGATCGCGCGGGCGATGGCCTGGTTCTCGACGCTGGGGTTCCATTGGAGTTCGACGATGAATACGCGGTTGGCGCAGGTCAGGTTGAGACTGGTGAAGTGTGGCTTGTTAGCATGGATGGATTGTCTCGAGATGCGAAAGAACAGATGGTGGTGAACTAACCCAAAGGCACCAGTGCCGGTCGTCATGATGAGAACCCTCTTCTCCTCATCCTCTGCAAACTGTGCGAGAATTTCCTGTCTCTGTGACAAGGGACAGTCGCCGTCGATCTTGTGGTACTTTACGCCGACCTTTTCGAGGTGTTTCGCGACGAGGCGGAGCGTTCTCGTCCAGCAAGAAAATATGATGCTGTTTCCGAAGGATATTAGTGATTTTCCATTCGAGAGATACTGGATAGGCTCTTCACAAGCCGGACCCTTCACAATTAACGTACCTCTTAGTTGTCGAGACGTCGACTTGTACGTCACGGATCAAGGCCTCCATCTTGGTAGAGTATCCTACCGTATTGAAGTAATCCGCATCATCCGCGCCTGACGTAGTTTGCACGGAAGCGTCAGGAAGACCCCTGGCATCCACCACAGGCCCTTCTACTCTCACATGCGGGATCGTACCAAGACCAGTAGAAGGAATCTTGGCCGACTTTTTCCAGTTATCACACACGGGGCAATGCCGCTCCCGAGGCCCGGAGACCGGGGTCGCCATTGAAGACAGATCCGAGTCGTCGAGACACTCCGAGCAAAAGACGTGCGGGCACTGCTTCTCCGACGCGTTGCGCAGCCTGTTGAAGCCGAGGATGGGCATGGGCTGATGGCATCCGTTGCACGTCAACTCTGCGTTCTGCCCCAGCGCCGAGACGGCGGCCTCGCGCTCGTCGAGGTCGAGGCGGTAGCTCCGCCGGTGCCACGAAAAGGGCTTCTGGAAGGTACCGTGGTTGCAGAGGATGCGCATCTGAAGGTTGGCCTGGAAGAGGCCGAACTTGCTGCTCTTTTCGACCTCGCCTACCTTTTGCTTAATTGTGCGCATGAGGATCTTCTTGGTCTTGTCGTACTGGTCGCGCTCCTCGGGGCTAAACTCGAGTGGGACGACGCGTTCCTCGAGAGGAGGGAGGTCGAGGACTTCTTTTGTTCGACGCAGGCACAGGGATTCCATGAGGGCGACGAGGCGCTCTTTGACTTTTTCTAGGTTGTCCGAGTGTTGCTCAAAGGGGACTTCGATGTAGCGGCGGAAGGCGGCTGGGTTGTCAAAAGGCGTTGCGCGGATGAAGGCGAAGAGGGCACCAATGTCGGCCAGTTTGTTCTGGATGGGCGTGCCAGTGAGGCACCACCGGGAGTTTGCGTGAAGCGATCGGCAGGCTTGATAGAATGTTGTTGCTGGGCGGCGGATGATGTGTGCTGTATTGTGGTCAGTCTGCTTGTCGTCACTTACGAGAATAGAGGTTGTAGGGAGTATGGATTCGAGTTGAAATGGAGGCAGTCGGGAAAGTCAGAGGTAGAGGAAAGCTTGCCTTCGTCCAGGACAACTCGGTACCAGCCAATCTTGTGCAAGATGGATGACTTCTTCTCGAACTCTGCAGACAATGTGTTGTAGGTTGTCACGACAATGTCGGAGCCCTTGATCTTGTCAATGTCCTTTTCTCGATTTGGGCCATGGTACTTGACGTGTGTCAGACTTCCATCCACGTGCCTGTCGGATTGTTAAATATGAGAAAGTAGGATACTGGTTTGTCACTCACTTTTTGATTTCATTTGTCCAGTTGTAGATGAGAACTGGTGATTGTGAGTTCTCTGATGAGTAAAAAGGGGAGTAGGTTGTTTGCTTGGAGACTCACGAGCAGACGATACGACCACGAGAGTCGACCCTGAGTAATGCAGGTCCTTGCTCTTCTCGTTGTTCTTCTCTTCCTCGACGGCCCAATTACGGGCATCGTCGAGGGTCTTGACGATGAGCGAGAGAATGGACAAGGATTTGCCCATGCCCATCTCGTCGGCGAGGATACCGCCGCCTCTTTCATCCGGCTGAATCTTTTGCTTCACGTTCGTGATCTTATGGCGATACCTAGGTGTTCAGGATTAGAGCGGTGTCTATCATTACGCGAATCTCAAGCAACATACCATTCTTGTCCTTCTACCGTCACCGGACGCCAGAGTTTGTAGCCTAGATTAATGTCACCGGATTCCCGCTCTAGCATGAACGCGAGTGCCTCCTGTTGGTGTCTGCGGATATTTTAGCATAACACACTCACCAAGGGGTGGTGGTCAGTGATAGACGCAAGGCAGAAATTACCCTAGCAGACCATTCTTCAACCGCTTGTCTCCGAGTTCACGATTGAACTCCCGCTTGTTTTTGATCGAGTCGTACACCTCAATCATCATCCGCCTCAGCTTCTCTTCCCGCGGTTGCCGCCCACTTGGCTGTCCACTGTTGACGTCGTTGATAACGTTCTCGGGCATCGTCTCGCCGCCTTGAATCTTGAGGAAATGCGGGTTCTCATAGCAGAGCTCCCGGCGCGCATGATCCGACTTTTGCAACCAGAGCTTCCCTTCGGTCAGCTTGTCTCCAACGACCTTTGCCGCGGCTCGCGGGCCGTAGACATTGATGTCGACTTTGACCATGGCCTCGACGGGCTTCTTGGCGCGGCCGATAGTCTCGCGGAGCGCGTTGGTTGGAGCGATGGGCTCGAATTCGACGCGAGAGTCTGGGGTCAGCAGTCTAGCGAGGGCCTTACCGGGCCCAGAGCGAAGGTAGCCAAATTCTGTGTTATCGTCCTTGAAAGAGAGGCAGATGTGTTCTTGTGAATCGGTGAGGGTGAAGCGTTGGTAGGCTATCCTGCCAGGGGCGGAGGCTCGGCTGGACTCGCGCAACTTGGTGTCGATGACGCCCATGTCGCCTATCAATTTGATGTCTACATTGTAGAGCTATGACTGATGAGTCGGGGTTGTTCTTTACACCATCTTGACAGAAAAGAGAAAACTAGTATGTCCAGATGACCGAGAGACTTGATGAAATGAGTTTGTGTCTTACCATGCCGTAACAGACCTTGTCGGCATCATCGTCGCCCGCCGTTGACGAACACGAGTCCGAACCAGTAATGCTGGAATCGGGGAAGAGTGAGGATGACTGCGTCACGGTTAAAGAATCCTGTGACGATTCGGAGCTCTGAGGTGAGCTGTACATTCCCAGCTCGGGCGCCTGTGCAATAGTAGAACGTCCCCATGTTTCCAGGTCGCCAAAGTCGAAGGACGCGAGCTCGGTTTCGTTGCTGATGTTTAGGCTTCCTAGCTGACTATCGACACCTTGGTCAAGAAGTAGGTCATATATCTGCACGTCTTCTATAGGAGGATGGTTATCGATGACGGGAAAATCATCTTGGCCGCCCTGAATGGTGCTGTCCGAGCTTTGGAAGGGGGTATGGCGTGGATGATATTCGGGGTACGAGTAATCTTGGACGCCGCCCTGGTAGGTTGGCGTGATGGAGCCGTACGAGGAGACAGACGACGGGTCGGGATAGTGGAGATCCTCATCTTCCTCGTTGAGAAGTCTCTTTAGCGACATGGCGGCTAGGGGGGTTGTCGGAGACTCAAGGTAGTTGACTAAGTTAGTCTGTCGATGAGTGATGGAGACTAACAGTCCTTCTCGGAGTTGATTCCGAAGTTGGAACTTAGTGTCTTCAAAGCTAGTGAAAGCTTCGAATAACTTCAGTTGAATGAATGGACGGGGTTGTCGAGTCTATCGCGCAAATGGGTCAATCAACGATTTTCCCACCGTCAAGTGCTTCTTCTCATGCAGCCAGTGCCTTGAGGAACATGATGAGGCTCTCTGCGGCATAGCAAAAGGCGCCCGGCGAACCATTTTGACCACATGATGACCGGTGACGTTAGGCAATCGAAGAGGCTACCATTTGCTGTGCAGTCTCCCTCCATGAGGCGCAGTGCGCGGACGATGATGAAGGCGATCGTGCTTCCCGTTGGTGGTTCGCACTTCGCCGAAGGCTCGTAGCTGCGCTCCGAACGCGCACAACCCACACCGCGTGCTTTTTCCACTTTCTTAGTGCCGTTGGGGTCCTTGTGAGGGTCCCCTTGAGCGATTTGGGGGGCCCTAACTGTTCTAACTGCCCTTAGGGTCATTCTCGCACCCGCTTTGCACCGCCCCCGAAGGCCCCCCGGCACCCCGGTTCACCGACGGTTGCTCCGCCCCAACCGCTCGGAGTCCCCCGACCGGGGCATTTTCAAGAGCCTCACTAGCCCGGAATGAGGTCAAATGATGGGGAAATGCCCACCTGCCGATGCTTGTTCTCGAGAATAGACACCGGAGAAGGCTCCGGTAGGGTTGAGGATGACGTAGATTGACGATGTTCGCGGGATTCCCATGTCGCGGATCGAGTCTTGTGACGCGGGATTTCTCAACTGACGATGTGGACCACTTAGCATTGCACAGCGGAGATATACTGTAAAGACAGAGGAAAGGCAACTCATGGCCGGCTAAGTCGGCTCCAACGGTAAGTCACTGCCTATGAACCAACCAAAGCCAGTCACAAGAGTTGACAATTCTCAACAGCCCTACGAAACAAAAGGGACACTGCAGCAACCAACAGGGCGAAAGGGCAGCTCTGCCCCTCACAAGGCGTCCGCGGGGCACGACAGTCTTGAACTAGGCCGCGAGACTACGTGTTGGAAGACACGCGGGAACTCGTGCTGGTAAGTCGGTCGTCAGGGGTTAGATGCAGTGTACCAATGCAGGTCGTCGAGTGGCTTGTGGAAGCACAGAGAGAGACACATGCAGACAGCCTGACAGCGCGCCAGAGGCAACTCGCTCTCAAATCCGCAGTGACGCACACAGCAACAGGCAGTAGAACTGCGGAAGAATATTGTGGCAGTGGCAGTGCTCACTGCCTAGCGCCTCACACATCCCTGGTGCCCCCGTTATGTTTGCTGTGCGGGCCTGACAACCACAAGAAACTATTGGATGTCCCTGCCAAAGACGTTGGCTCTGGGCAGGGGTTGCTCGGACGGGGTAGTATTTTTGATATACGCCTGGCTGCCTCTCTTGCTGTGAAAAGCATCAGCCTCAATTCGTATCAACCGCTTTCTCGGTGCAAGCTGTGGACTCTGAACATCAACCCCGTTCTCATTCTTCCTTTCTCCAAAGACCTTCTTTCCTTCTTGTTCAGCTCTCTCCACTTGGTTCTCTTTCTGACTCCATTTCCCCGCGAGTTTGTTCATGTTTCGTTGTGGTTTACGTCGCAACACGGTCCACAACGAACTGGGTTTAGTACACATACCTAGCTTGTGGGCGCCCGAGCCCCCGTAGCGGCTGTGAGCAATTCGACACTTGTCCCGGAGCCATCGCCGAGTTCGCCAAGTCCACGACCATGGCCCAAGGTCTCGGTCCCTACCGGGTCCCAGACCTCGATGTCGATGTCGAAGTTGCTCTCAGGATCAGCGTCGATAGGTTCAAGAAACATCTAAATGATCTTCATGTCGACAAGATCGGAAAGACGACTCTTGACGATGTTTACCGAAGTCTTAGGGATATTCAGTTCCAGCAGCAGGAGAAGAAGACCTTGATGAATCTCAACAGGATTGAGTTGTTCCTCAGTGGCATGTACTCATTCCAAGAAGTCCTAGTCGATAGGGGCATGGAAGATGTTGACAGTATCATGGCTTTCGTTTGGGGTCCGATGAGGTTTCTTCTTGAGGTACGGGCGCGCACTCAAGAACAACCCCGATCATCTCAAAACACCCCTGGCTGACATATCTTTCCCTGACTTAGACCACTAACGTCAACGATCGAGCTTTTGATCACATACTCGAAGTTTACCAACGACTTGGAATCCAGATTCTTCCTCTTACAGAGTACAAGCAATTCTTTGCAGGATCCGTCAACGCTAGGGCCTGCCTGCTTAACATTTACAACGACATTGCCGAATTTCACATGACCGCATACAGGTTGTTCTCTCTCCGCAGCTCGTGTAAGCCGTACTATTCTCCACGACAACTTAGTTGCAGCTGTATCATGCGTGATACTGACCCTGATCGTTCGCGCTCTTAGTATGGGGTAAACTACATAAAGCTACCTGGAAAGACTTGGAGTCGACCTTCAAATACTTAGTCGCGAGCCTTCGGCTACACGCACAATTCATTCAAACCCACGGGGCTCCCCTCCAGGACCGACATGCCTTCCGCAGCGTAGATTCCGGCTTCGCGGCACCCCAAAACAGCATCTTGCTCGACAATGACGATTTCCGCCGCAAATCCCGCCAATACATGTTGGATTACGACTCGCTGCGAAAAACGTTCAGAGAGGACGAAGCGAGCAGGAAGCAGAAGCAGAAGAATAAGGTTCTGAAATGGATCGCTGCTCCCATGACGACGCAGGACCTGCACAAGAGCTTCGTAAAGAAGAGAGAACCGTATCCGGAAACTGGGCGCTGGCTCTACACCAGATACGACCCAGTATCGAATTGGATGCGCGAGGACATACCCCAAGACTCCGCTCTCTGGGTCCATGGTAAAAAAGGCATGGGCAAGTCAATCTTGTCGTCACTGGTGATCACCCGATTGCAGGAACTCGTCAGCACTCAATCCATCCCGAAAGTACAGGCATGCTACTTCTACTGCCAGGATGCAGATCCCGAACTGAACACATACTTTGGCATACTCAGGGGCATCGTCCATCAACTCGTCTCCGCAATTGACGTATCGAACCCTGATGTCGATGAGTCAAACGAAAATGAGCATGACAGTTCGGCGTATTGTAACAAGTATAATGGGTTCATTCTCCCTCTATGCGACGACAAGATCACGAGTAGTGGTGGCTCGACTCTATCAACCACGGAAGGATGCCTTTCACTCATCGAGGCCTTTTTTGAGATCAACCCCCGTCTATACATCGTTGTGGACGGACTGGATGAGTGCGCAGGCCGCGTAGAAATCCAGCAGATAGTATCCTTTTTGGTGGCCCAAGTTTCGCGTCTGGACGAGATAAATCAAGGACAGTTGCGGGTGCTGTTCATGAGTCAACCGAATCCCGAGGTCAAAGCAGCCATGTCCAAGACCACCGTCAGTCCGATTATCGGCGAAGTTGAACTAAAGGCCACCGATAACACACAAGATATAAGGACCTATGTGAAGAGCCGGCTGGATCCAGCGGAGTTGGTCAAGTCACGAAGACAGGTGAGGGGGAGGATCAACCCTACCGAAGCTTCATTACTAGAAGCTTCTGGGAACAACTTCAACCTCCTAGAGCAGGATATCCAACGTATAGAAGAAGAGGTTTCGTTACAGAGCGAAGGTATTCATTTCACGCAGGTGAAGGAATGAGTATCGGGCTTGCGCTAATAATGCTTCCAGGTCTTTTCCTTTACGCAGTCCTTGCTGTTGACTACCTCTCAAACCAGTGGAGTAAAGGTGAACTTCTCCGAAAGGTTTCATCGCGCATGCTTCCTGACGGTATTACAAAGATGTACGATATGGTGTTGGAGAGCCTCAAGGAGAAGATGCTGGATTTGTCTCCAACTCATTGGGACAAGACTAAGCTCCTCCTCGGCTGGCTTGCCTGCGCCCATCGCCCGCTCAAGTGGCACGAAATACAGGCTATCATCGCTTACGACCTTGAGATGGATGAAATCGACTTTGACCTTCGCATGATTCGAAGAGAAAATATCAACAATTTTCTAGGTTCCCTGGCCGAGGTTCTGCCGGGCGATGAGATCCGTCTCATGCACTCAACGGCTAAGGAGTAAGTAGACTGCAAATTCTTGCTTTACTCACCTGAGCCTACTGGTCCTGGGAGAAATTAGGAGGCTAACCCAGACTTTATAGCCATCTTGTTTCCAGCAGACTCATCCACGCGAAATCAGTTCAGTGCGACCTCGCCATTCTGTGTCTGCGCTACCTATCTCTGCGCTGCTTTACAGCCGACGACTACAGCGCAGTCGAGCTGCACAGTCATATACGCAAGGGCTACTTTTCATTCCAAGACTATGCCGTTCCTCAATGGTACAAACACATCAATACCGTCATTAAAGGGTGTCATGAAATATTTTCCCCTACCTTCTACCACGACGCAGGAGTAGAACCCGGACGCAACTTTGTCGCAGAATTTGGGTCGGCTTTGGCCAGGTTCATCTCGGCCTATGATGTTGATATCAAGAAGGAGACGCACCCAGAGTTCCCGCAAGATGACTTGTCAAAGTACATCAGCTTGCCATTCTACCCCGATCTCGTTCGCTTATGGAATCACATATTTACCCACCAGAAAGCTTCCATCGACGAACGCAACGAAGTCGGCATTAGCCGCTTACAAGAAGCTCTCACTTCGCACCGCGAGGTCCTGGCAAGTGAGTATCAGCCAGACACCGTCATGTTCGGGAGCGACACCATGGAGACCTACTACGGACCCAACCTATTCAAATGCAAGAAAACACTGTGCAAATTTTTCTACGAAGGCTTCAAGTCCGAAAAGGATCGCGATGCCCACCACAACCGCCACGATAGACCGTATCCGTGCCCCATCAAGACATGCAACTCGGCGCCCGTTGGGTTTTCATCCAA